GTCGAGGGTGCTGGCGTCGGGGCAGCCCTGACCCGGGTCCCCGGGTCCCGGCTGACTGCCCGACCTTTTGGAACTGGCGTCGGGACCGGCCCGGAGGGTGGAGCCGCCGAGAGCCCTAAGGGCGCCCGCAGCCCACCTGAGCGCGCCAGGCCCGGCTCGGCCCCCGGCCCCTGTCCGTACTTTTCCGCTTGGGACCGGGGCGAGCCCTCTGACCTCAGGAAGCGCCTGCGAGGCCCCTGCTGGGAGCGGGATGGGGAGAAAATCCCGGAGGCACTGGGTGCTCTCGCTTCGCCCGCGTCCTCCCGGAGGTACCGCCGTCTCTCCCGCTCCGTGGCCGGCGAGGGCCTGCGCTCCAGCCGGGAAAGGGGAAGAGTGACTGTTGGCGAGGCGGAGGGGATTCCTCCGATCCGGGCCTCGCCCTGGCCACGCACCTGTGCGGGGAGAGGACCCAGGTGCTGGAGCCGGCAAGCGCCGGCAGGCTGGATCAGGTCGGTTCCGCGCTGCCTCCCGCGGAGGCCTGGCCGAGGCCCCGGCTCCCACCGTGGGGGTAGCTGGATTCTGGGTGGCATGCTTGCCAGACAGGTGTGACCATCATTTGTCCGGTCAGTACCTGCTTTCGCCATTCCCCACCCCTTGCCTCTGGGCCACGTTACCGAACCTCAGCCAGCGGAGAATGTTGGCTTTCTTTCTGACTTTCAGCTGAGTTCGGAAAGTGGTCTTGGGAAGAACAGGGGGCAACTCCACGTGATTTGGCCTCGTAAGGGCTGGGGAGCTGCTGACCAGGTGTGTTCACAGCTTTAGGAGAGGGGCCAGGACAGGCTCTGTTCAAGTCTGGCACCGTTTCCACCAGAGTAGCCTCAGTTTAACTGGTTCTTATATTGGGTTTCCACATGAGATTTGATTTTTTATTAAGGGATTCTGTGGCTTAAAATAAAAAAGTTTGAAAACCACTGATGTAGCAGTTTTTACCACCAAGGAAACTGAGGCCCAGAGAGAGAAAATGACTTGCCCAAGATCACACGGCACAGCAGTGGTTTAACAGGGACTGGAAGTCAGAATATCAGGACAGTCTCAGTATATGCCTGTAACAGTACCTGGCTTGGTGTGTCTTTGCTGGAAAGAGAGATGGGATTGGGTTTCCCAGGCAGTCCTTGAATGGCCTGTACTGGGACAGTGTCTGACATAGACCCCCAATGCCTGGGGAACAGCAGCCCGGCCTGGGAGTAGAGGCAGCTTGGGAACTGGCCTTGTTTCTGTCAGGAGGCTGCCAGGGCAGGAGAAAAGGACTATGCCCAGGAGTATAGATGAGCACCAACAGCCCTCTCAGTGGCCAGAGCCCTGGACTGAAGCCTGCGTGAGAGGGACTTTCGGTGACTAGAATTTACTAGCCTCCCTCCAGATTTGAGAGGAACTGGGACTCGGTGAGTCAGAGTCTGTGATGGGGGTGGGAGAAGCCCATTCATTCATTGTTCTCAGCTCTGGCTTTTTTGGGGGGTTGGAGTCCTGCCTTCCTCCCGAATGTTGAAGCAGGGCTATCTGGTGGTTTGGGGACTCTGGAAGCCATATCCACTCCTCCCTATGTATGGGGACACTGGGTACATGGAGCAGCAGGCCATCTTTCCTTCATGGAGCATTGTGGGATTTTGCCTGAAGCCTGCTTTCTTTCCGGTGCTGCAAGGCCATTGAATACTTGGTTAATCACCTTTAACGCCAGGCCGTTGCAACTCAATCTACCCAGGGCTGGTACGTGAGCCAGCCCCAGCCTGTATTTGGTGGTGGCACTGTAAGATAAGCACTGAACTGGTAACCTCAAGGTTGGTAATTCAAACCCACCAGCCACTCTCAGAAAGCCTGCCTTTACAGGGTCTTTATGAATCTGAATTGACTTGCTCACAACACTCTGATCTGGTGAGGTTTGCCTGCCCTCAGGACCCAAGAGGCAACTGTTATTTTAGCAAGAAAGGGCCCTACCCACTGAGCCTCCACATCCTCTGAATAAATGAAGAGCTTGGGGGTCCCATCACCCTGAGGCTGAATATCTGTCCAGTCAGCCAATTTTCAGACTGCCTTTCTGGAACTTGGCCACCCAGGGCCTCCTGGTCTGTGGACTCTGCCCATCAGGGTGAGAAGGAGTTACCCTTTGGGGGCCTCCCACCATCAGCTGTCAGGTTATTTTGGTGTAAACTGAAAATACTCCAGGAATTGTGGCGTGTGGGTAGTCCCGACCTGCTGGCTTTAAATGCTGCCTGAGAAACCTGCTCTGGCGGCCCCTGAAGAACAAGGGGGTCTGAGTGGTGATCTTTCCCATCCCAGCACCCCAGGCCTGGGTAAGCTAGAGATAGCTGCAGTTTGCCATTCAGTTCCGAGTGGTCTCCTTTGGGACTGACCAATAGGAGGGGTAGTGGCCCCCAGGGCCCTATGGATAGGCACTGTGCCGAACAAGAGGGGATACCTTCACTCGTCTTCCCCGGGACTTCCCCCAGCTTCCCACTACCCCTAGGGTTTGGCTTCTGGCTAGTCAGGAGCCTTCTGTGGGGACAGTTCTGTGGCCCTGGGCAGAGAGGTCCCACTGTCTGTTTGCTAAAGGAAGGAAAACAACATGGGCACTATTGATTCAGCCTTACCTTGGCGCGCCGGGCTCAGCAGCTTATGTTTGCCCTAACTGCCTAGGCTCAAATTACGAAAGGGTGGTGGGTGTGGAGTGAGCAACAGAGTGGCTGGGGGCCTCTAGGCCTAGGTGGGGCAGGGCGCATACAGACCCAACATTCCACGGGAAACAGTGGAAGATGACCCTGGGCCCCTGATTGCAGCTGGCCACCTGTCTAGTCCCCAGAGGGAAGTGAACCCACTTTGGTCCCCATGCTCACAGCATACCTCCAAAGTGTCCCACCCCCACCCCCCCAACCCACTGATGATCACCAATTCCCTCCTCTCCAGGGCTGTGCAAATAACTCACTATGGCTGGGCTGGCTTTGCTGAGCCAGGAATCCTAGCGAGTTGTGTAGATGTCTCTTATTTGAGCAAAAATGTTTAAAGTCAACATTTTTTTCCTTTATAAAATATACCCAGGTAATTTGGAGACTATGCAAAGCCACAAGAAGAAAATAACAATTATTCATAATTCTCAGCATCCTAAGAAAACCATTGTTAACATTTTTAACATGTGTCCTCCCAGATTTTGTTTTGTGGTTGTATATAAATATACATGTATAAATAGTTGGGTTTTTTTCAATCAGATTGTGTATGTATACTGCCATACAACCCATCTTTTTCACTTTGATTCTGGTGAACCTTAATTCAGTAACTATGTTTGGTTTTGAGTGACTTCCAGTGTTTATGTTCTTCACCCTACTTTTGTACCTGTGTGTAGAGAGGAGCTTAGGCGTCTCCACGTCGTGTGTGTGTGTGTGTGTGTGTGTGTGTGTGTGTGTGTGTGTGTAGGTGTGTGAGAGAGCGATCTGTCTTTCCGTCTATGTAACTGACCTTGGAGAATCCTTTTGGGTACCTCACAGTTTTACCACTATTCTCCAGAGTTCCTTTCAGGTCTGGACTGAGCTGGGAGGGGAGGCTTTAGTACCTGGCAGGGGAAGCCTGATTCTCCCCCCCTCTTCCTTATTCTGCTCAGAACCAGCAGCCCTCAGCCTCCTAGCCCCACCTGCCTTGGACCCATGCCCCCACCAGCCAGCCTCAGGCCACAGACAGTGAGCAGACCCGTGGGAGCCGAGGCCCTGTGACCAGGCCAAGGAGACAGGGGCTCCGGGGTCCCGGCCACCTGCCCCCTCCATGGAGCTGAGGCCCTGGTTGCTCTGGGTGGTAGCAGCAGCTGGAACCCTGGTCCTGCTGACAGCTGATGCCCAAGGCCAGAAGGTCTTCACCAACACATGGGCTGTGCACATCCCTGGAGGCCTGGCCGTGGCTGACAGCCTGGCACACAAGCATGGATTCCTGAACCTGGGCGAGGTAGGGGTACTTGCCTGGCCTGCTGACCTGGGCATGGGACATGGATGGGGCAGGAGCAGGGAGGGTAAGGATTCTAGCAATAGAAGTGGTGCTATTGGGCTCTGCTTCTTGAGGGTACCTGAGTTCTGGCTGTGTAATTTTAGCATCACTTGCTCAGAGGACCAGTATATCCTAGCAAAGCCTAGCCATTCTGCACTCCCCCCTAACCCCCCAGGTTCCTTGGCACAGCTCTTGCTGGGTCTTGGGCAAGGAGCAGATGTACCCCTTGGCGTTGTGAGCCTCCCCTCCCAGCCGTTGTCCACCCCCGTTCCCGCCTCCCTGAGGACTGACAGATGGAAAGCCCCGCTCCTTCTCCCTGCTCTGTTGCAGATCTTCGGTGACTATTACCACTTCTGGCACCGAGCAGTGACAAAGCGGTCCCTGTCGCCTCACCGCCTGCGGCACAGCCGGCTGCAGAGAGAACCTCAAGTGAGTGCAGCCCCAGCCCCTCTGTCCTGCTGTTAGGAGGGCGCCTTGCCTTCCTCCTCCTTTCTCTGCACGTCATCACTGCCTCACTCGCTCACAGGTCCGATGGCTGGAGCAGCAGGTGGCAAAGCGAAGGATCAAACGGGACGTGTACCAGGATCCCACGGACCCCAAGTTTCCCCAGCAGTGGTATCTGGTATGGCCCCCTCCCTGGGTCCTGGTCCTCCTCCCCAGCTGTACCCATCCACCCACAGTGGGGTCTTGATACACAAGCCAACTGTAGAGCCCCCTCTAATTCTTTCTCTTTCTTTCTGTCGGGCAACCTCTCTAACCTTGGGGTTGCCCTCCCAGAGTTCTTTACTTTTCCAAAGAGTCCAGGCCACCAATTGTGGGATTTTAGCAGGACTGGGTGGAGAAGTTGGCTATTGGGGTGGTACAGGGGATCTGAGTCCCTCAACATCCTCATCTCATACGTGCTGGGGTGGGGGTGTTGTCTCTGCAGTCCGGCATCACCCAGCGGGACCTGAATGTGAAGGAAGCCTGGGCGCAGGGCTATACAGGGCATGGCATTGTGGTATCCATTCTGGATGACGGCATTGAGAAGAACCACCCGGATTTGGCAGGCAACTATGTGAGGAGGCAGGGAGAAGGCAGCGAACCATGGAATGGGGTGTCTGAGGGCTGCACTGTTCTGTCCTGGAGTCTGGCTGACTGTGACCATGTTTTCTCCAGGATCCTGGAGCCAGCTTCGATGTCAATGACCAGGACCCTGACCCCCAACCTCGGTATACACAAATGAATGACAATAGGTGAGGAACTGGGAGATCCCTGGCCTTTGCCCTCTCTTCTCTTCCACCAGACAGGTAGGGAGGGCTAAGCCTGGGTTAAGACACACCCTGCCCAAGAGGCTGAATGAAGTCTTCTTTCCAACAGCCCTGGGCCTACCAGGGCTCAGGGCAGGATGAGTCTGGGCAGAGACAGCCACAGGCTGAGTGGAGGGGGTATATCTGTGGCTGCATGGCTCTGCCCACCCCCATCAATGCTGTCTCTTGGCCCGATAGGCATGGCACGCGGTGTGCAGGTGAGGTAGCTGCAGTGGCCAACAATGGAGTCTGCGGGGTAGGCGTGGCCTACAATGCCCGCATTGGGGGTAAGTGGGGACCTCAACCACCCTGTCTTTGGGATGGGCCCTTCTGGGATGCATCCTGTGCTGCAGGTTAGGATGGGGCTCCCGAGCCAGGAGTCTCCCAAATCCTCACAACCCACCTGACACCTTCCATGACAGGCTGCTTTGAGAACCCAGAGGTGTGTGGTTATGGGGAGGCTGTATTCTTTGTCCCCTCCCTGAGTCTCATTCCTGAAGGGCAGAGGCAGGCAGGCAGGTGGTCGGGGTGGGTGGAGCAGGATTTCCAAACACCAGCCTTAGATGTCAGATCCCATGACTGGGTCCCAGTACCATCCCTTGGGCTGCAGAGCTGGGTCCACTAGGAGGTACCCCTAGCAGCTGGCCCCACACTGCATCTCTCTCCCTGCCCCCCTCCATGGCCAGGGGTACGCATGCTGGATGGCGAGGTGACCGACGCAGTGGAGGCACGCTCACTGGGCCTGAACCCCAACCACATCCACATCTATAGCGCCAGCTGGGGCCCTGAGGATGATGGGAAGACAGTGGATGGACCTGCCCGGCTCGCTGAGGAGGCCTTCTTCCGGGGGGTCAGCCAGGTGAGGGACAGGGCCTGGCCAGCCCTAGAAACTGGGCCAAGTTGCCTTCCACTCAACAGGGCCAGGCCGACTTTCCTATGGTTCTTCTCCTTCCTTATGTGCTGTTCTTGATTTATTTATTCTTGTATTTAATTTTAATTGTACACAAATTTATTGAAACCCAAAGGGAAAAGTAAATAATCCTCCCCCTCCATGAGATGATCCGCACTTGGGGGATTTAGGTGGTATGCTCGTCCTGTTATTTTGGGGGGCAGGGAGACCTGATTGTATATATACACCTGACCACCTTGGGACCCAGAGGAGACCAACGGGTGGAATGGGATCCCCGGAGAATGAGACCCCAGCAGTATCTGCTGACAGGACTTGTTCCTGAGTGACCCCAGCCCACTTTGTCCACAGGGCCGAGGAGGGCTGGGCTCCATCTTTGTCTGGGCCTCGGGGAACGGGGGCCGGGAACATGACAGCTGCAACTGCGACGGCTACACCAACAGCATCTACACACTGTCCATCAGCAGTGCCACCCAGCTCGGCAACGTGCCCTGGTACAGCGAGGCCTGCTCCTCCACACTGGCCACCACCTACAGCAGTGGCAACCAGAACGAGAAGCAGATCGTGAGTCCGCTCCCAGGCAGGCTGGCTTCTGGGGGGGTGGGGCTACATGCTGGGCCCCTTCCTGACCCTAGATGGCTAAGGGACAGTGCTGCGGGCATCGGGGAATGTGCACCCCACGAGGTATAGAGTACTGGAGGTGTGTGTTGGTTGGTGGCTATGTGCCGTGGAGTTGGTAATCGACTCATAGCGACCCTGCCTTAGGGTTTCCGAGGCTGTAAATCTTTACAGGAGCAGAAAGCCTCATCTTTCTCCCACAGAGCAGCTGGTAGAGTCGAACTGCTGACCTTCAGTTAGCAGCCCACTTGTAACCCGCTATGCTAAACATTCCCTAGAAGCATGTGCAAGAGGGCTTCAAAAATTAGTAGAATTAAAAAAAAAAAAAAAGTGGAATTACACATTAAAAGATAACGGCATTTTGCCATGAACATTTTGAGGTCATTCCCCTCCCCTTCCCCCATATTATTCTCAATGATCTCTAATCTCCACTTTAACCCCCTTGTCCCTTGGCAAACTGCAGGCCACAGCATGGTTACAAGGCAGCAGCTGGAACTGAGGTATCTTGGCACTGACCTGCCTTGTCACCATGGAGGAGGGCTTCCTAGGCAGTGGGAAGCCAGGCAGGTGGCCCCTCTGCTCTTGCCACCCCCTTAGCCCCCAACCTCGTTGTCCCCTGGTAGGTGACCACTGATTTGCGGCAGAAGTGCACAGAGTCACATACAGGCACCTCAGCCTCAGCTCCCTTGGCAGCTGGCATCATTGCACTCACCTTGGAGGCGAAGTAAGTGGACTGAGGAGCCTCTGTGTCCCCCCATTCCTGCCAGGCAGCACTCAGTCTCTAGCTTTGCTCACAAAAGACTGAGCCCCTGCCTCGTCCTGCCTCCTCTGTAGCAAGAACCTCACTTGGCGGGACATGCAGCACCTAGTGGTTCAGACCTCCAAGCCAGCCCACCTCAATGCTAACGACTGGGCCACCAATGGCGTGGGCCGAAAAGGTGAGGGCAGGGTGTCCCTGAGGGCTGGGCTTGGGGACAGGCAGGTCTGTGCTGTGCCTTCCAGCTACCCTTGTCTTCCTTGGCCCCACAGTGAGCCACTCGTATGGCTATGGGCTCCTGGACGCAGGTGCCATGGTGGCCCTAGCCCAGAACTGGACCACGGTGGCCCCCCAGCGGAAGTGCGTCATCGACATCCTCACTGAACCCAAGTAAGGGTGGGACCTGGACTGGGAGAGGGCAAGGGAGGCCTGCGGATGACAGAAGGTAATGGTAGACCCTCATGGTTCTCTCTGCACAGGGACATTGGGAAGCGGCTAGAGGTACGCAAGACAGTGACTGCTTGCCTCGGGGAGTCCAACCACATCACCCGGCTGGAGCATGCCCAAGCGCGCCTCACACTGTCCTACAATCGCCGTGGTGACCTGGCCATCCACTTGGTCAGCCCCATGGGGACGCGCTCCACCCTGCTGGCCGCCAGGTGCCTGTCCTGCTCTATTCATCCAGTTGCATGCACTATCTTGCTTATTCACTCTGTCCTAATGATGGTCAGAGTATCTCTCAGTCATGGGATGCCCGTATTCTGTGGGATGGTCCCATGCTGCAAGGATTCCTGCCAGCTGGATGCCTCCCCTTATGTGGTGCCCTCACACATTTCCAGAATCCCCTGGTTGGGAAATAGAGCCAGGCTAGTAGGTGTTTCCAGCCCAGCAAGATGGATGCTGCCCTGGGGGGGAGAGGGAATCTGGCCTCAAACAACTGAGTGCACACTCCTTTCCCCAGGCCACACGACTACTCCGCGGATGGGTTTAATGACTGGGCCTTCATGACCACCCACTCCTGGGATGAGAACCCATCTGGCGAGTGGGTCCTCGAGATTGAAAACACCAGTGAAGCCAACAACTATGGTACTGGGGGCCCTGAGAGCTGGAAGAGGAGGGCAGGCTTTCAGAGCTGGGGTGCCAGGCAGGGTGGCAGTGCCATTGAACTCTTGCCTCCCCCACCACCCCTGATAGGAACGCTGACCAAGTTCATCCTCGTGCTGTACGGCACAGCGCCCGACGGGCTTTCCTCAGCGCCTGAAAGCAGCGGCTGCAAGACTCTCACATCCAGCCAGGCCTGTGTGGGTCAGTCATGGGTGCTGCTGGTGTTCAGGGGCGGGAGGGAGGGGAGGGGAGAGGAAGGGATCTGAAGAGACCTGGAGCTCCTGGGCCCTTGGGGGGCTGCCTGTGATTCTGGGGCTGGGGGCTTCTGGGGACAGTGGGACTGTGCTTGAGGTTGCAGGTCCGTGGGTCTGCCATGGTCCTGGGCACTGGGGGTTCACACAGCCCACGTTTCCTCTGACAGTTTGTGAGGAAGGCTTCTCCCTGCACCAGAAGAGCTGTGTCCAGCACTGCCCACCAGGCTTTACTCCCCAAGTCCTCAACACACACTATAGCACGGAGAACGATGTGGAGACCATCCGAGCCAGCGTCTGCACTCCCTGCCACACCTCGTGTGCCACGTGCCAGGGGCTGACCCCCACAGACTGCCTCAGCTGCCCCAGCCATGCCTCCTTGGACCCTGTGACAAATACATGCTCCCGGCAGAGCCAGAGCAGCCGGGAGTCACCGCCACAGCAGCCGCCGCCTCCACAGCCACCTGAGGAGGTGGGGACAGAGCCGCGGCGGGCAGGGCTACTGCCCTCCCACCTGCCTGAGGTGGTGGCCGGCCTCAGCTGCGCCTTCATCGTGCTGGTCTTCGTCACTGTCTTCCTGGTCCTGCAGCTGCGCTCGGGCTTCAGCTTCCGGGGGGTGAAGGTGTACACCATGGACCGGGGTCTCATCTCCTACAAGGGGCTGCCTCCCGAAGCCTGGCAGGAAGAGTGCCCGTCCGACTCAGAAGAGGATGAGGGCCGGGGCGAGAGGACCGCCTTTATCAAAGACCAGAGCGCCCTTTGACGAGTGCCCACTACCTGCTCCTCAAGCCGACCCCCTTCTTGGGCACTTTTTAATTCACCAAAGTATTTTTTTAATCTTGGGACTGGGTTTGGACCCCAGCTGGGAGGCAAGAGGGGCAGAGATTGCTTCCAAAGCTACCCCTGGGTTCACCTGGCTGCCTGAGGTGGGGGCCCAGGACCAGCTTAGGGGAGGGCATGGGAAGGCCTCACCCCACCCACACCCCTCCGTGTGGAGAAAGGAGTGAAGCTTTTGGGGCAGGTTTCCAAGGCCCAGGCCAGCTGGAGGTCCCTGTGGAGTAAAGAGGGGTAGCCCTTCTCTTCCAGGGTCCCTGGCTCACCTTGTAGCCATTGCCCCTTCCCTGTCCCTCCAAAGCAATAATGGTCCCCATCTAGGCAGCAGGGAGGTGGGCCTGTTGGGTATTTGAAGGAGGAGGCCACCTCTCCAAGGGCTTTTGCATCCCAACCCATCCCCCCTGTCTGGTGAGACTCCAGCAGAAGTGATCATAGGAAGGGACCAAGACAAAAGCAAGTGCTGCCAGAGTATGTGTGGGTCCCTCTGCCCACTTTGTACCGGATGCCTCCACACAGCTGGCTGCCAGGCTGAGCAGGGCAGATGCTCTAGTCGAGCCCCATGCTGGTGGTACCCTGACCACCCTCCCCTCCAGCCAGGGCCCAAGTCCCTGTTTTCTGAGCCCGGGGCTGCCTGGGCTGTTGGCACTCACAGCCCCAGAGCCCCTGGGTGGGTGGTGGGAAGGGACGGTGGCCCAGCTGGCCTCTCCTCCCCCCGTCCACCCGATGCTGCTTTCCCCTGTGGGGATCTCAGGGGCTGTTTGAGGATATATTTTCACTCTGATTATTTCACTTTAGATGCTGAGGTTTTGTTTTGGGGTTTTTTTGTTTTGTTTTGTTTTGTTTTTTTTGTATTTTTTAATGGGGATAGCAGCTGGACCACCCACCTTCCCACACCTACTGTTCCCCCTGCTGTTCCTCAGGCTGCCCCAGCCTGAGGTGTAGGGGGTGGCAACGTGTTACTAAGAAGTTGTTGAGCCCCAAGTTCTGAAGAGGCAGGCTGGCCAGGTGGTCCCTTGGAAAGGGGGTCATGGTAGGGGAACAGGCTGTCATCCGTGTGTCAAATGGGGCTCGCTGTGCCAAGGGCTCATGGGTTACTGGTTCTCCAAGTGCCAGGGGTGGGTGGGCAGTGACTTTGAGCCCCTCCCCCAGCATTGTACTCTGCTGGAGAAAGCAGTAACTTGTTAAGCCTCCCAAGGCCCCCTCTTCTGACGTGCCTTTTGCACCCTTCCCATTAGGACAATCAGTCCCCTCCCATCTGGGAGCCCCCTTTTCTTTCCCCTAGCCCCTCTTGGCACCCAGCCACCCACCCAGGGGTGCCCCCTTCTCTCCTGCTCCCCACCCTTGTGGCCAGCCCGGCTGGTTTTGTAAGATACTGGGTTGGTGCACAGTGATTTTTTTTTTTTCCTTGTAATTTAAACAGGCCCAGCATTGTTGGTTCTATTTAATGGACACAAGATAATGTTAGAGGTTTTAAAGTGATTAAATGTGCAGACTATGCAAACCAGGCCTGGCCTCCAGTGTGGTGATGTTCTTCCCCAGACCCTGGCTGCATCCTGGTTGGGGAGAAGGATGGCATGTGGACAGGTGGGATGCCCATGTGGTGTCCTGCCTGCCTTTTGGTGAGCTCAAGTCTGGAAGTGAGAGTGTCTACCAAGGAGCTCCAGCCAGAGCAGATACACCAGTCGGGAGATATCAGCCATCTCTATCATCTCCACTCCCAACATTCTACTTTTCTAGCTGCTCCTTCCCAGGGACCTGTGTGCCAAGTTACTCAGTGTGTTTCTCCACTGTGGTGACATGCCACCAGCTGTAGGGCTGTGGTCTTGGGTGGAACAGGGCCTGGCTGAACCAAGATAGCTTTTGCTGGAGAGAGCCAGCTCCCTGGGAATTCACTTTTGCCTTGATGCCCAGGAAGCTCCATACCCCTCACTTTCCAGCCCCTGCCCCTGCCCCTTTCCTCTACCTGGACTGTGGTGGCTGCCAGGGGGTAGGTGGGTGGGGATGGTGCCTGAAAAGCAGGCCTTTCTTGGGAATATCTACTTGGAATTTTTATTCAAATAGAAGCTGGCGCCTGAACTCTCCTTAGGGAAAGTGGGGTGGAGAAGACAAGGGGCCAGGCTTACCCCTTCCTCTTCTGGGGCTGCCCGCCTACCATAGACCCTGGACTCTCCGGGTTCTCCTAGAGCCTCGTCCTGTGCTCAGACTTGCCCCAGCCCCCTCTCCACCCCACCGCACCCTAGAGCCCTTCTCGGTTCTCCGGAGGTGCTGCCGGGACAGGCTGCTCTCTCTCGATAGGCCATTCTTTCCCGGCCCCCTCCTCCCTTCCGTTTCCGCGGCCCCACGGCCGGAGGTTGCGGCCAGGCGCTGGGCAGGGGCGCTGCTCCCACCTGCCCCTTCCCCTTGGTGGGCCCGCCCCGGGGCCTGGGCCAACTGAAATCGCGGGAGGAGGAAGCTCAGAATCAGGAACTGGCCAGGGGTTGGTGCCCGCCCAAGTCAGTCCATAGCAGCTCCAGGACCAGCTGCCCGCACCGGTAACTCTGGCCCTTCAGCCCAGGAGGGAGACGGCAGGCAAGGAGTGGGGACCGGGCTGGGACGGGGCGGACGTCGTCAGGGCTGGGCTGGGGAGCCAGGCAGACGGAAGAGGCCCGAGGAAGGGCGAGCAGCCGGCAGGGTTCAGGCCTCGTGCGCCTCGGTAGCGCCAGGGCGGCCTTAGCCCTTCCGAGGGCAGCGTTCCCACGCCCCTATAATGGTTCTGGGTGGCAGGGCCTCTGGAAGGGAGGCTTCAGGCAGATTCCCCGTTCTAGGACTGGGAAGGGGGAGCCTGGCTCTGTTGCATGGACTGGGACACAGAAGACCCTGAGAGCTAGTCTCTCCCCAGGCCACTGTTAAGACTTAGGGCCGCGTTTCAGCAGGGCAGAACCCCACCGCTGTCTTAAGTGCAGGTCCTTCAGGCTAGCAGCTCTGGCCTTGCTTCTCCACTTCAAATGCTGCCTTGGCCCCCAGTCATTGCCTCTCTTCTGTCTGCAGCTTAGCACCATGGGCTTCTCTTCGGAGCTATGCAGCCCCGAGGGCCATGGGGCAGTGCAGAGACTTCAGGAGGCTGAGATTAGACTGCTGGAGGGCATGCGGAAATGGATGGCCCAGCGGGTCAAAAGTGACAGGGAGTATGCCGGACTGCTGCGTCACATGTCCCTGCAGGACGGTGCGGCCCAGGGCCGGGGCATCAGTCCCGACAGCCCCATCAGCCAGGTGGGGATTTATGGGCTCACCTTGGGAATTCCTGCAAGTCCCCTCCCTCTCCTAGAGCCATTGTCCCCCACTTCCCTGCCTTCCCCATCCTGTGCTGTAGTCCTGGGCGGAGATCACCAGCCAGACTGAGGGCCTGAGCCGGCTGCTGAGGCAACACGCAGAAGATCTGAACTCAGGGCCCCTGAGCAAACTGAGCTTGCTGATCCGGGAGCGGCAGCAACTTCGAAAAACCTACGGTGAACAGTGGCAGCAGCTGCAGCAGGAACTGACCAAGGTGGGTGGGCAGTGCTGGGCCTTTCTGCCCTTACGGAGCCTAAAAGGGTCAGTTTTGCACAAGAGCGCCAGGATCCACTGAGGAAGTGAAAATCCCTGGCCTCAAGGCCTGCCCCAACTCTGCAGCTTCCTCCCCTTCTCCCCAGTGACAGTGGCCAGCAGCAATGCTTCTCTGTGCATTTTCTGAACTTCCTACTGTGTGCATGGGCAAGGGACTGGATATACAAAAGTGGATCCAGGCCTTGGTCCAAGGGAAACGCAGGCTCCATACTCCTCCCGAATTACTCCGCTTGTCCGTTCCTCCCTTCCTCCCTCTGTCTGTCCTTAGGGCCAGGGGATCTGAGAGACAGGAATAAGAGGTCATTAGTCTGTGCTTCCTGGCCCTTCAACTCCTCAGACCTCCTGCTAGATCATCCTCAGAGACACCACACCACATCTGTGTGGCTCCTGACATAATGGTCAAGGACTAGGACCATGGAGTTTGCCTGCCTACACCTGAATCCCATCCAGCTCTTTGATCTAGAGGTTGTGTAATTTGAAGTTGGTGATTTGTGTGGGTGCTGTAGTCTCCCCATTTACTGTGCTGGTCAGGCCCCCAGCACTGTACTTCTGCCAACACAAAGCCCAGCCTTATCATGGACCCACAGCGGCCCCTAGTGGCCAGCCTGGCCCTACTCTTTCTTGCAGATCATCCAAGGGTCTGTCTTTACTGTATGTAAAGTTTTACTGGAACACTGCCCATTGGTGTTCCTATTAGCTACAGACTAACCAGCCATTCCCCCCGAAACCCTATACAGAGTCTCTAAGAGTTGGAACTGACTCGACACTTACCAACAACTATAGATTTCAGTGGCAGAGTGAATAATTGTAACAAAAGACTGTATGGCCTGCAAACAAAATATTTACTATCTGTTCTGTGGAATCCTGGTGTGGTACTGTGAGTTAATGTGCTGGACCGCAAAGTCAGTTTGAACCCCGGGGTCAGTGGAAACCCTATACAGGGTCACTATGGGTTGGGACTGACTCGACAGCACTTAACAACAATCTGTCCTGTTAAGAAAAAGACTAGAAACCTGATTTGTCTAAGCTTTGTGGGCTCAGATACTGATAGGGAAACTGAGATTCGAAGCGAGGTCTCCCAATGCATACACAGAAGAGCTAGGATGAGAACTCTGGTCTTGGATTGCCATCTCTTGTTTCTGCCACCAGAAACATCATTTGCAAGGCCCAGTGCAGAACAAAAACGTGGGATCTCTTGTGAAAAAAAAATTATTAAGAATTTCAATATGACAACAGCAGAGCATTAAATCAAACATCACCCAAAACCCAACCAGCTCCTGTCACGTTGATCCCGACGCATGGCATGCGTGTCAGAGTAGAACTGTACCCCAGAGTGTTGTCAGAGACTGGGAGCCTTCCTTCCAATGGATTCCAATGGACTCAGACGTTTCAGTTAGTAGCTATGGTCTTAACTATTGGTGCTACCCAAGGCCTCCAAACCAAGCCTAGGGCTTCTATATGCGTGAGCCCTGTGTGGCTGCCCTCCTGCCACCAGGATTCCAGTCTCAGAGAAACGCAGGACCCTGCCTAGTTCACATCTCTGCCCTCTGACCCTAACTGCAGTGGCCAACTGCTCTAAAGGTCCCCACCAGTAGAATAAGCTGGATGATGGGACCTTTTCTGGCCATCACCAAACACAGGGATTTTCCATGTCCTGGGCGCACACTGCCCCATGCTGGCCTCCTCTCTTCACAGACCCACAGCCAGGACATTGAGAAGCTGAAGAACCAGTATCGATCCCTGGCACGGGATAGTGCCCAGGCCAGGCGCAAGTACCAGGAAGCCAACAAAGGTTTGTGGTTTCCCCTGCCAACAGAGATGCCAAGCCCCAACCCAGTCCTGACCTGCACATGGGTGTCCATGGAAGGGGGGCTACTCTAGTCAGTATGCTGCCATCTCCTCTCCCCTACTCACTCGGCAGACAAAGACCGTGACAAGGCCAAGGACAAGTATGTGCGCAGCCTGTGGAAACTCTTTGCCCACCATAACCGCTACGTGTTGGGTTTGCGGGCGGCCCAGCTACACCACCAGCACCACCACCAGCTCATGCTGCCCAGCCTGCTCCAGTCACTGCAGGACCTACACCAGGAGATGGCGTGTATCCTGTAAGCCCACAGCGCCCCCGTTCATCCATGCCAGCCCTCATCCCCTGCCACCAGGCCCAGAAAACTCAGTCCTGCAAAGTGGTGGTCACATTATTCCATGAGAACTTGAAGCAGAAGGCTCCCAAGATGTGACTACTCTTAGGAGTCCTCAGGATGTGGGCACCCTTTCCTCTTCCCACTCCTGTTCCTGAGACCAGGGGTAGACATCAGCAGGTGGCCAGGCTTGGGGAGGGGAGAGAGGAAATGAGGGACAAGTAGGCATGCTGGCAGGCTCAGGCGGAGTGGACTGGCAGTCAGAGCCGATCTACTTCAATCCTAACCATGGTGGTGTCCTGAGACCCTTAATGGTGGTTTGTTGCATGTATTAAGCACTTTTCTAGGCTCTATGATGGAGTATTGAACAAAGAAGACAAAATATGTATCTTAAGGGATCTTTCATTTTAGTGGAGGCAGAAAGTATACAGTTTAAAAAAAAACAAAAGATGGAGCCCTGGTGTGGTACTGACCACAAGGTTGGTGGTTCAAACCCACCAGCTCCTTGGAAACCCTAGACATGGTCACTATGAATCAGAAGTGAATGGTTCAGTGACACTTAACAACAACATTGAGTAAAACAAGGAGATTGAGGGAAGAGGGGGCTACAGTTTTAACTGGAAAGGTCTAGGTAAGCCTCTTTGAGAAGATAGATGTTCAGATACAGAGATGAAGTTTGGGGTGACAGGAAAAATAAACCATGTGGATGTCTAGAAAGCCCTTCCAGAAACAGGAAACAGCAAATGCACAAGTTTTAAGGTGGATAGTGCCTGGAGCATCCAGGGATTAGCCAGAAACCGGCAGAATTTACTCAGAGTGAAAGAGAGAGAGTCGGTGTGAAGCTGGAGAGGGCAGGCATGGATAGCACAGGCTCCACAAGGCCCTTGTGAGGAATCTCTAGGTAAACCAGAGTCACGTGATCTGACCTCTGCTCTACCGAGGGCACTATGCTGACTGTGTGGAGAATAGACTTCAGGGGGTGAGGACAGAGGCAGGAGGGCCAGACGGAACATCATGGTGACTTGGAGCAGGATAGTAGCAATGGAGGTTGTGTGGCGTGGCCAGATCCTGGGTATCTTTTGATGGTGGAGTTGTAGGGTTACCTCGGGATTAGTAAACCATCAGGGATGACTTCTAGATTAGGCCCATACAGATGGAAGATGAATTAACATGGAGAAGGCTACTGGAGGAGCAGGTTTAGCTTCAAGTAGGAGAGTGAGGTGTCTGAGAGATGTCAGTGGGACATTTCAAGTAGTCCCAGAACTATGAGGCTGGAGTTCAGGGGAAGAGCTAGGACTGGGGTCAGTGATCCATTGGTGGTCCAGAATCCTAGCTGTTAGTCTGACTGCCCGAGCCAGGGATGAACACTTTCTGTATACCAGATGCTCTGCACATACCATCTTATTGGATCCTTATTAGAACTCCCTGAGGCTGGAACCTTTATCTGTCCAATGGACATATCAGGGGGAGATTAAGTAATTTATCTGAGGTTAGTTGGCTGGTGGTGGTGGTTATGTGCCGTGGAGTCGGTTCCGACTCACAGAGACCCTGTATAGGGTTTCCGAGGCTGTAAATCTTTACGGGAGCAGAAAGCCTCATCTTTCTCTCACGGAGCCACTGCTAGTTTCAAACTGCTGATCTTGAGGTTAGCAACCAGACTTGGAACAACTACGCTACCAGAGCTCCTTGAGGTCAGCTGGCTAGAACATGGTAAAGTGGGGAAGTCAAACCCAGGACCAGCTCAAACCCAGTGTTCTGGCCCTGAGCTGCCCAGCCTGCTCCTCCCTGACCAGGGGTCCTGCCTGGGGGGCAGGAAGGAGATCTTGCAGGAATACCTGGAGATCAGCAGCCTGGTGCAGGACGAGGTAGTGGCCATTCACCAGCAGATGGCAGCAGCTGCAGCCCGCATTCAGCCTGAAGCCGAGTACCAGAACTTCTTGAGACAGTATGGGTAAGCCTCCCCTCAATCCTGCTGGCCACCAGGGCTGCTAGCCTGTTCACTGACCGGGCACCTGTCCCCCGTAGGTCCGCACCTGATGTCCCACCCTGCGTCACCTTTGATGAGACCTTACTTGAGGAAGGTGAACCACTGGAGCCTGGAGAGCTGCAGCTAAATGAGCTCACGGTGGAGAGTGTGCAGCACATGTGTGTGGTGGCGGCTGGGCCAGGAGGAGAGGGGGCTGTGGCCCGGCAGCTGAGCTGCTTGGCTGCAGGGATGCACCTTGGGACCCCGGTTCTCATGCTGCCCCCTCCGTCCTTGGACACAGGATGACTGCAGTGACCGATGAGTTGGCCGTGGCCACCAGCACTATGCTCAGCCGCCAAGAGGTGGTTGTGCAATTGCAGCGTGAGCTCTGGACCGAGGAGCAGAATATCCACCCCCGGGAGCGGTGAGTGGGGGCCACTGGGACCGTCCCCTGGCCATGCCTTCCTCTCGCTGGCTGCCACAAGCAGGCTGAGCCCCTCTCTCTCCCCAAACTTCCCACCTGACCACTGCCCACAGGGTGCAGCTACTGGGCAAGAAACAGGTGCTGCAAGAGGCGCTGCAAGAGCTGCAGGTGGCACTGTGCAGCCAGGCCAAGCTGCAGGCCCAGCAGGAGCTACTACAGAGCAAACTGGAGCAGCTGGGCCCCGGCGAGCCCCCACCTGTGCCTCTCCTGCAGGATGACCGCCACTCCACATCCTCCTCGGTGAGCTGCCCACCCGCGCCCGCCACCACCAGCCAGGCCCACTTGCCCGGGCCGCACTCCTCATTTTTGCCCTCCCCACCCCCAAGCCTGGCCACCCGCTGACGTCTGTCCCTGGCCTCAGGAGCAGGAGCGAGAGGGGGGAAGGACGCCCACCCTGGAGATGCTTAAGAGCCACATCTCGGGGATCTTCCGCCCCAAGTTCTCGGTGAGTGGAGCCTAACCTGCCCCCCTGCCCATCCCAGAGAGGTCTACCCAAATCGCCCCCCCCACCATGGTGTTTGGATTAAATAATGGGGCCTGTTAGAAAGGTAGCTCTGCCCAGGTTGCTTGGGGGAGGGGAAGCCCCTTCTCTTCCCTAGAATTCCAGGCTATACCCAGCACCCCTTTCTCTCTGCCACCCATGCGTGCCTAAGCGACCAGCCACATTCATGACCCCGTGGCTCTCTTGCTCCAAGAGTGGTTGGGGCAATGTGCCTGGTGGAATAGGCACCAGGTTGACCTGGGGTCCGCCTGGATTTCCCATCCAAGCTCTGCCAGTGGGTGAATTGAGGGGCACGTGGGGGTTCCTGGTGTTGAGTGACCCCTCCACACGCCTCCTCTACCCCCTGGCCAGCTCCCACCACCACTGCAACTGGTCCCCGAGGTGCAGAAACCCTTGTATGAACAGCTGTGGTACCATGGGGCCATCCCGCGGACAGAGGTGGCGGAGTTGCTAATTCACTCTGGGGACTTCCTGGTGCGAGAGAGCCAGGGCAAACAGGAGTACGTGCTGTCGGTGCTGTGGGATGACCAGCCCCGCCACTTCATCATCCAGTCAGCTGACGTGAGTGGAGCTGCCTCCGCCTCACCTTCCCGACTCTCCTCTCGGCTCTGCAAGAGCAATGGCCTTGAGAGGGTCCAGAGCAGTGGCTGCACCCTAGATACCTGCAGACAGACCTGTAAGGGCCACAGAGATCCCCCAGCCTCTACAACAGAACGGAGGCTTCAGCTTCAACGTTATGTCCTCTAACAATAAGAGTGGCTGCCCTATCAGACAGTATCTAAAATGGCCCTTTTAGCAGGTCTCACTGCCCCTAGTCCTGTTGTTGTAATTTGGTGCCATCGAGTCGGTTCCAACTCATAGTGATCCTGTATAGGGTTTCCAAGGAGCAGCTGGTGAGTTTGAACCGCCGACCTTGAGGTCCAGTGTTTATCCTACAGCAATATACCAGGATTCCCCTCTAATCTTAGGCAGGCTCTTTCTCCCTCTCGCTTTCCTCTCCTCTCCCAGGGCTCAGGCCCCCCCCCAACGATGGGGGCAGTTGACCCCAGGTCTCCCTACTCCACAGAACCTGTACCGACTGGAAGGGGACAGCTTCCCTAGCATTCCCTTGCTCATCGACCACCTGCTACACTCCCAGCAGCCCCTCACCAAGAAGAGTGGTGTTGTCTTGAGTAGGGCCATTCCCAAGGTGAGTGTGGCCCGCCTATGGCTAAGCTGGTGGGGACACGGGTTCTAGACCCATACAGAGTCAGAGCAGGGACTCCTAGTTAGAGGGTGGGGATGTATCCCTCAATCCTTATAAGAAGACCAGCTTGCTTTGGGAGATTTGGGATATCAAGGCCACACCAGGCTGGCTCTCACACTTTTGGGGTACACGCCTAGTCCCTGAAGGCATCTGAGTGTGTGATCCTGTTGTGGTCCAACCCCCATCTTATAAACAACCAACCAAGGCTGCAAGAATTGACAGACATAGCTTTGGCAGGGAAGATGTTCAACCCTCCATAGGGCCCACTACCCCTTCCCTTGACTGACTTCTGGCTCCCCAACTCCACCTCTCCTCCAGGACAAATGGGCACTGAACCACGAAGACCTAGTACTGGGTGAACAGATTGGGAAGGTGAGTAGCACAGGCTCAGCCAGCCCCTCTTCACCTGCATCTTCCCTGCTCTGCCGCACGTCCTTCTAGCCCACAACCCGAGTCACACCTGAGGCCCCATGCTCCTGAGAGCTTTTCTGCCTCCTCTCCTCAATCGGACTCCATCAGTGAACAGTACCCACCCTGAGAACTCTCTGGAAAATGACTCTGTGGCCAGCACCCTCCCCCGATTACTTACTTTTGTGCCTTGCCTCTCCTGGGTGTTCTTGTGCCGAAAGGAGTCACACGTGTGACTCACAGCGACCCTGTAGGACAGAGCAGAACTGCTCCATAGAATTTCCAAGACTATAAATCTTTCCTGGAGCAGACAGCCTCATCTTTCTCCCATGGAGAGGCTGTTGGGTTCGAACCCCTGACCTTGCAGTTTGCAGTCCAGTACTTAACCCAAAGCTCCATGAGGACTCCTTGCACTCTAATGATATGAGCTATAAAATACACCCATTCCGGGTGATGCAAACAGTTTACGCTAAACTACTAACTTAAAAGTTGTTGGTTCAAACCCACCTAGAAACATCGCAGAAGGAAGACCTAGTGATCTGCTTCCGTAAAGGTGGTTGTTGTTGTTAAGTGCC